GGAGGCCGTGGCAGGCGACACCGCCGAGCGGCGCCCGCAGCGGCACCGCCGAGGAGCCACCGGAGGATGCCGGTCCGAAGGGGCGTCCTGCGGGCGGGGAGCCGTCCCGGAAAGCTCTGGAGCGATGTGTCCCTGTCCTCGCCCCGCCCGATCCCTCACTGGCGCGCAGGCGCGCCTCGTCGGCGTCGCCACCGCCGTCGGCGCGGCGCGCGCCGCCCTGCTCGCGGCGCGCCTGCCCTGCGCGGTGGCCACCCGCTGCTGCCGCCCGCCCGCCCGCCCGCTCTCCCCGAGCCGCGGCGCCGGACGTCGAGCAGCTGTGCACCCGCCCTGGCGCCGCGGCGGCAGCGGCAGTGCCGAGGCACGGCGGGCGACGCAGGCGGGAGCCGCCGGAGGGCGCGAGTTCACAGGGGCGCCCCGCGGGCGGAGAGGCCCCTCCCCGCGGACACGCTCGGGCGCGCGGCTCGTCGGCGCCGTCGTCTGCGCGGCGTCGCCGTGGCGCGCGCTGCCGTGCTCGCGACGACGACGCCTCGGCTCTTCGGGGGACCTGACCTTCCCTAGACCCGCATGGCCGACCCCCTCCCCCGCCCCCAGTGGTGATGACATTCTGCACTTCACTCGGGAAGGGGCAGGACAGCGCAGAATCGAATCGACAAGTCGCATCGGCGATCGACACGAAGCCGATCGGCGGAAATCGGCAGCCAGGTCGGGAGAAGAAGCCGAGTCAGCGGAAGGCGGCAGGCCAGTAAAGCCTCCGTGGAGAAACCGAGCTCTGGATCGGAAAGTCCGAAGCCGAATCGGATCGGGATCGGAACTGATCGCAATCGAAGCGACTCGAGTCGGAGGAGTCGAAATGGGCCCTGGGTCGGCGGCCAGCGCGGGGGGAGTGAGACTGGGGCGGGCCCTCTCAAAAGGCTCGGAAGTACCCCGGTCTTCTGAGAAGTTTTTTTTGAGCCTTCCCCGAAGACGCAGACAGCATCCCAGAAGCCAGGGTCGACGTTGTGCAAAAATCATGACGTCGGGGGCCTGGGACTCTGGGCCTCCAAGGGGGGGTCCGAGGCTTGCGCCGCACCGCCGATGCATCGGCGATGCGGCGGCTCGATGCATCGGCGATGCGGCGGCTCGATGTGGAGCCCCATTTCCTCCACGCCGGCGGATCGGTCTGAGAGGGCCGTCTCCCTCTCACTCGCCGCCCTCGCTCGCCGCCGAGCGAGGCGCAGGGAGGCGGCGGCGGCTTCCTGGCGCCGCCGCAGCTGGCGGGCGGCCCGCAGCCCCGGGCGCAGTCTGCCACGTGCAGCCGCGGCGCGCCCGCCGGGCCAGGCACCTTGGGCAGGGACGGGGGGCGGGCACCGCGCGGGCGGGGGGCGGGCGAGGCGCAGGAGGAGGAGGAGGAGGAGGAGGAGGAGGAGGAGGAGGAGGAGGAGGAGGAGGAGCAGAAGGCGGAGGACCAGTGTAAACCCAAGAATCATAAACGATGTTGTCGTAAACCCTCCCTCCAAGCTCCTTCCTCATAGGCCCCTACAAGGGCTCATTTCCGCTGAGGGAACTGCCTCGTTGGAAGACAATTGTTTGAAGACCCTGACGCATGCCAAACATTGTTCTTGGGACTCCAACGCCACGGATCAACTGACGATCCTGAATCGCGCCAGAACGCCATTCCTGGGATTTCAACATCGCGAACCAATGTAGCTGTTGCACCCTCATAATTTTGAATCCTTCCCAGACATCATTCTAGCACGCTGACCATGGGAACCCGTGAAACTCCTGCAACTTTTAAGTGCGAATGCGCGCGGCTCTGCAGCGAGAGCCACATTTTGAAAACGACCCGCCCTTAATCCGTGAAACTCTTGCAATATTTGTAACGCATGTGCGCGGCCCTAAGGCGAGGGCCACATTTTGAAAACCACCCGCCCTCAATGCGTGAAGCTCTTGCAATTGTTCAAATCGAATGTGCGCGGCGCTAAGGCGACAACCACATTTTGAAAACGACACGCCCTCACTCCGTGAAACGCTCGCAAGTTCTCATAACGAATGCGCGCGGCGCTAAGGCGAGAGCCACATTTTGAAAACGGCCCGCCCTCCATCTGTGAAACGGTTGCCAATTTTAATAAGCTTCAGGGTCATGAATGGTGAGGAAGTCTCGGGCGAAACGCCCGGCCCGCCCTAAGAACTGGTCTCGGGGTGCGACAGGGAGAAGTCATTCATAAAGGAGAAGGAATGGAGGAAGGGGAGGAGGGGGAGGAGGAGGAGGAGGAGGAGGAGGAGGAGGAGGAGGAGGAGAAGGAGGAGGAGGAGCAGGAGGAGGAGGAGGAGGAGCGGGGCGCGGGCGAGGCGAGGGCGGGGAGGGGCGCGAGCGAGGCGGGGGCGGGGAGGGGCACCGCGCAGGCGGGGGGCGGGGGAGGCCCTTGCGGGGAGGAGCTCGGGGGCCCTCGGGCCTCTCGGGCCATTTTGGGGGGCGGCCCGCGCGGCCACGAGGCCAGGCGCGGCTCGATAATTAGGCCTTTTGCGGATCCTCGGGCGGCGCAAGGGAGGCAAGGGAGGCGATCGCCCCGCAGGGGCGCGGGGAGAGAGACGACGCCGAGCTCGAGAGAGAGAGGGAGAGAGCACAGCTGCGGCGGCACTCGCGGGCTGCCCTATACCATGTCTGCGCCGAGCGCCGGGAGGGTCTTTCGGCAGAGATCTTTCGCCCGTGGCGGCTTCCGCCGTCGGGTCGTTCCGGCCCAGAGCGGGAACCAAGAAAGCAGCCACATCTTGCTGCAGCAGCCTTGGGCCAAGACTGGCGACTGTCACGGTTTCGGCCAGCGGGTCGCTCGGGCCAGGCGGACAAGACAGCTACAGAAGGGGGCCCCTGCCAAGAAACACCCTGCTCGCCTCCAGGGTGCCCTGTGCTTCTTGGGCTTCGATGGTTCTGCAATGGAGAGCGTGACGTTCCCACACCAAAAAACAAGGGACGTCCTGGGGTCTCAGGGTTGGGTTTCTTGTGGAAGGATTCTTGTGGTCGGGCCTCCGCTGTACAGCCGGAAGAAGGCCCGCAGATAAAGAACAGAATGGACCCACGAACCCGGAAAGGGATATAGACATGTGCAGCATGGTCACGTTTTCACGATACCCAACTGGGCGACACCTCACGAAACATCCCACGAGACACCCCGCGAAAAAACATCCCACGAGACACCTGACGAAACATTCCACGAGACACCTCACGAAACATTCCACGAGACACCCCGTGAAACATTCCACGAGACACCCCACGAACAGGCAACCACTCAACCAGACACCCCACGAAACATTCCACGGGGGTGCGACTGGGTGTGGTGGTCGTGCTGGGGGGTGGTCGTGCTGGGGTGTGGTCGTGCTGCGGCGTGGTCGTGCTGGGGCGTGGTCGTGCTGGGGCGTGGTCGTGCTGGGGTGTGGTCGTGCTGTGGTGAGGTCGTGCTGGGGTGTGGTCGTGCTGGGGTGTGGTCTTGCTGGGGTGGGGCCGTGCTGGGGCGTGGTAGTGATGGGAGTGGTCGGATGGGGTGTGGTCGTGATGTGGTGAGGTCGATGCTGGGTGTGGTTCGTGATGGGTGTAGGTCTTGCGGGGTGGGTCGTGCTGGGGTAGGGTATGGGCATATGTGTTGGGTATCTTTTTCAATGTGACTCTTCGTGTTGTTCTCTTCGGAGTCGTGCTGGGGTGTGGTCGTGCTGGGGCGTGGTCGTGCTGAGGTGGCCCGCACCCTGTGATTCATCGATCGGGATTTCAAAAACAAGCGTTTTGCCTGAGACATCCTCGAATTTTTAATCCGCCGGCCCACCTCGACCTCGACATTTATGAGGGAAAGAATCCGCCGGCCCACCTCAGTTGAGGCACCCGGGACAGGTTTACAGACTAAAAGAGAACCCTGCGCCCACGCCCTTTCCGGGAAAAACTCGTGCGTGCGTAGACCGCACCCCCAGAGCATTGCCGGAGAGGGGGTGCTCGCACAGCAAGCCCTCACGAGCCCAACGGTTGAAAGCAAGGCCGCCCCTCCAGAGAGAAGGGGCCGAGTCAAACGGGCGAGCACGAAGAGTCGAGGATGCCAGCGCAGCGCAGAGGAGCACGGAGAGGGACCAGACGAAGAGCAGAGGGGAGCAGGAGGGAAGACGCGAACGGCCTGGCGACTACAACGGGCCATGTGGAGCCGGACACGGAGGGCACAGGGGGACGGGAAGCTCTGAGAGCAAGCCGCCCCAGACGCCCCCGTGGCGGTGGGCGCCGCCCCGAGGCACGGGGGGCCAGCGCCAGCGAACATAGACATTTAAAGTGTCACATGCAATGCAGAGCTGTGATCGAAGGGAGGGCGGAGGAGGGAGGAAGACATGGAGAGACAACAGCGCAGCTCGCACGGAGCGGGCCACGGAAGCAAGACCCTATGACTGGCGCAGCGGCGGGGGCCGCACTGGCAGACCTGAGAGGACGAGCCTGAAAGACATGGGCACGAGGTCCATGCGGGTGGCCCTGCCACCGACCCATAGGACATTGCCAATCCACACATCCCAGGCAGATGAAACGTGAAGGAACCCACGATGTTCCAGTCCTTGCGAGTGGCCCTAGCACCACCCCATAAGCATCCCAGAACAGCAGTACTTCAAGACTGGGGGACAGCGCAAACGACGGACAGGGTGACGGGCTCGACGTCGGACTGGGGTTCGGCGCAGGCGTCGTGCTGGCGACGCAGGCGGTGCACACATACGAGCGCGATGTCCGCGAAGGGGATGGGCGTGGCTGTCGCCGACGGCATTGAAGGCGAGCTTCTGCTGCTGGATGCACTGGTGCTGCTGTGAAGGGTGCTGCTGATTGTGCTGGTGCTACGACTCTAGGCAGTACTGGCCAGTGGGATTGCGAGTAGCGATGCTGCTACGCGTGACGCTGCTGGTCCCAGTTGTGGTCACGCGGCTCGAGATAACCTGGCCACGGCGGACGCCTGGAGGGGCCAGGGGACGAATGTTGAGCGGGAGTAGGAGGAGGAGGAGGAGGAGGAGGA